AAAAAACTACAAAACTTAAAAATTTGGCTAGAGAAGCAATTGATTTATTCGATATATCTGTTGCTTGGTATGTTGCATGGTTGAGCATGGTGTCTGGCCTTTATATAGCGTCCATTGGGAGAGGTTGGTACCTACATACGTACCTCATTTTCTCTCTACCAAACAACTCAAAAGACAAGGAGTTGGTAGCTACCTATTAATTTATTCAATTAATTCATCCTTTCATCACTTACTGATTTCCTATACTTCTAAATTTTTCCCTGTACATTAATTATTCACTTTTTATTTACTTGAGTTGGTCTAAAATTAGTTTCAAAACATATACCTTTAGGAATATAGGATATAGGATAAGAATATTAAGTTGTTTTCATTTGGCATCAGCAAGCATATATGGTTGGTGAGATTGTTCAATGGATCGCATTGATAATAAGGTCATTGTTTTTATTTTTTTAATTATCTTTTTGGATGTACAGCTAGCTAATTTGAGGTTTTTTTTCAACTGATTGAGATACTAACTGATTTTGTTTGACATATGTCAATACTCAATATATATGATCAAGAAAGATGAGACTTTAATTTAGTGCATGCATGTCCTCGTGAAGCATATATAATTAATAATTACGTGGTGATTTATAATTTAATTGGTGAAAACTAGTACGAATCCCGTGCGATGCACGGGTAAGAGATATTCATTAATAATTAGAGATTAAAATTTTCTCATTAAATAATATTTATAACTTAAAAATATGAAATCAATATTTAATACAATTTACCTGTATTATTTTATTGAAAATGTTATATGAAATTTAAATTGTGCAAAATTACATAAATCGTATTTATTTATAATTAGTACACAAGTCCTACGATGCACGTAACCAGGGGCGGATGCAAAGCCTCTAGGCCCCACCTGGAATTTATATTTTTACTACATAATTTTCTAGAAAATAAGTGTAAAGTGAGTAATTCCACAAAAATAATTTATAAATAAAGTTGTTTATCAATTAAGTTTTTTTTTCTCCTTCTTTCATAACAAAATTTTCTTATTGCAATGTCTTATTTATTCGTTGTATCTTTAAATAAAATTAGCATGACTTTGCATTCTACTATAATAATTGTTAGAAAATCATTGTCAATAAAAATTTGTGTTAACAATGAAATCAACTAATAAGAGATGGAATCACAATAAGTTATTTGATCCAACATACTGAAAAATATTATCGCTCTCCTATACCCACGACGATTATTAATAAGATTATCATACATTTTATGACATGTAACTGATGAATCATGAGATCTTGGCAATGAATAATTTTGTATTGATAATAACACATTTTAAGTCATTGAAATGGATAATTATACTGAAATATGCAAATTGTATAGTGTTTTGATATTTCATTTTGAATTATTTACAAAAATAAAAAATATATATAAAACGGTAATTTGGTATGTCTTATATTGTGTCAATTTGTTCTCATCGTTTTTTCAATTACCACAAAATCCTGGCCTCACCTCATTCTAATTGTTGGATTCGCCCCTGCACGTAACTGATACTAAATTACATTATATATATTTCAAGATAAGTGCTTCGATTTGACTACAATGTGATTGCATAAAATAAATATTTTTGGTAAACATTTATCATATATTTAAAATTCTATGTGAATAATAAGTATAATTATAAAATTTATATTTTTTAATTAATTCAAATGAATTTATTTTGGTATAAACTATCCAAATAAAAAAAATTAAGTAGTAGTTGAGTAATTTATTAAACTATAAATAATTGGCTATTTCATTTACGTCCAAGTTAATATTGACCTGATTAATTATTTACTTCTATGACTTTGAAATTTGAAAATCAAATTTGAAATACACAATAAATTTCCTTATATATATATATATATATATATAGTTGGGTTCACATGAGAATGGTGCTTAATGAAAGATATGAGAATAAATCGTGGCCATTAGATTAGATGATCTGATGGTTAAAAAAATTCTAAAATTATATCTCATTAAGGGTAATTAGGACATTTCATAAATTATATATCCACATTATTGGACCCACCCCCATACAGCTATTGCTAGGTAATTACCGTGTCTACTTCTCTCTCTTTCTCTCTATCTCTCTCTCTATCTCTCTCTCTCTCTCTCTCTCTCTCTCTCTCTCTCTCTCTCTCTCTCTCTTTCTCACACACACACACCATCATCTACACACATATCCACCAGGCTGCCCCGGAAAAAAATTCCACCGCCACCATCACATACACACATCTCCACCAGGCCGCCGGAAAAAATTCCGCCACCGCCGGAGCGACGCGCCGCAGTAGCCGGAGGATCCCCGCCATCACCATCCCACACCACGCTTTCTCTCTCTCTGCCGCACAAACACAGCTCCGTCACAGTCATTCTACCGGCCGCCGCAGTTCATATTCGGTGAAGCCAACCCGTCGATAACAACCGGCGACCGAAGCGCACCACACCGACGAACAGGACAACCGCTGTCTTCCAGGCCCATTCCGACCACCAAGCACAGTCCACCACCGAGATCCGCCGCCTCTCACAGACAATAACCACCGACCACCGCCGTCAAGGCCCGCCGTCGGACGCTTCGGGGAGTGGTGCAGTCCCAACAGATAACAGAAGAAGTTGAACGGACTGATTTATGCTATTTAGAAACAAAATTAATTTTTTGAATTTTGTTGGCATCAAGTTGAGAATTAGAGAAGCTCAAAGGACTCCTTTGCAATTTAAGAAATTTGAATATATTTCAATTTAACCCATGGGCCAAATCTGTAATTTGTAAAAAATATATAAAAATATTTTATTTTATATGAATTTTCATACAAATGTTTATTATGTATATTCAACAAAAAAAAAATATAAAATATTACACAAATCTATTAACGTAATTAATATATTTTTCAAAACATAAATAATAATTAATATATTTTTATAATATAAATAATAATTTATTTTAATTCTTTAGGTTAATTCAATGTACATCTATATCTACTAATTACAGGTTTCAAAAACACATAATATATACGTGATCATATAAATCATAAATCATAAATTAGTGAACTTTATATATCAAGTTGCACTTTATAACACGACATGTTGCACTTTATTAAATGACATGTTGCACTTTATCATCAGTCCACAATCTAAGCCCAACGTGTCCCGCCAAAATACCACACAATATAATTATAAAAAAACGGATATATATAATCTTTTATCCACACAACACAAGCATGAAAACGTATCAAAATTACAGTAGCTCCCTTTATATATCAATACGTTGCACTTTATAAATCAACGTGTTGCACTTTACAAAACGACACGTTGCACTTTAATACGCTATCAGATTGCACAATAGAAAACGAAACCAACCGGCCTCTAATTTTTTCAACCTAAAATATAATAAAAATAATAAATAAAATTAGTAAAGTATTAAATATAATTTTGATACGTTACACTTTACACGCTATTAGATTTCACAATGACAACATGTGTAAATTACAGTAGTTCACTTTATATATCAGTACGTTGCACTTTATAAAACTACGCGTTGCACTTTACAGAACGGCACGTTGCACTTTAACACGCTGTCAGATTGCACAATAGAAAACGAAACCAACCGATCTCAAATTTTTTCAACCTAAAATAATATAAAAATAATAAATAAAATTAGTAAAGTATTATTTATAATTTAGATATAAATAAAAAAATCGATTATTTGGGATAATTCAGTTAACCGAACCGAATATATTAATTAATTATGTTCATTTTCAATTTGACTTGGGACAAGCGTTCAATTGGTTCGATATGCACAATACATGCCGAGACCGTGTACTATAGTGTTGGACAAATTGCACTTTACTAATTGATATATTGCATAATATATTTTATTTACGTATATACTATTTTTTTTAATTAAACAATAATATAAATTATTAATTAAAAAATATAAAATACTAATAATAAAATTTATGAAAAAATTAAGTTGAAATAACCATACATATATTGTTAAAATTATTTATCAACATTCTATGTTTAATAGATATTTATTAAATAATATAATTAATCACCAGTTATATTGTCATCAATTCTTCAAAAGAAAGCAAGCAACAAGTCACGATTCACACAATTAAAGAGCAAGAAGCAACTCCATCTCAAAGCGTAACTACCTCAAATGAAGTTTCTAAAATTGCAAATTAATCCCTATAGTTTATCTAATTTACGTAAAAGAAACCCCACAAATTGAATTAGTTCATTCCTCTTTCTTGTCAAAAAGAAAAACTCATCCTCTGTCATGAACATTTTTTTTCCAGTCGTGCATCCCCTTCAGCACACCGACGGCATCGATTCACACACAACAACAGCTGCCGCCGGACCACCGTTTTCGTCGCGTCTCGTCGCCGCATTCCGCTGCTTCATAGCATCGTCACTGTAAGGCGGTGGTTGACGGCAACGTTATCAGCGAGGGTTCTCTGGAAGGCGGGGTTTTCTAAACACCGGCGAGAGTTTTCTCGATGGCAGTGGCGCTCTCAATGAAATTTTCTGTGGCGGTTGTTATTTTCCGACAAGACCCACTGTATCTGGGTGGATCTCCGGCAGCGATAGTGACTGCACTGTCGGTGGACGGCGACGGGATCTTCGATGGAACCGGCGGTCTGGTGTGTGGCAGCGGGTGGCTAGGCATCGAACGAGGATTGACAGCGGGTAGAGTACGGACGGCGACCGACCGACGGTGGGTGGCTGGATATGGCGATGGCGGGGCGGCGCTGGGTGAGGTCAGAGATGGTGGGAGGTGGCTTTGGGCTGGAGTGCCGCCGTCTGTGGCCGTGTGTGTATGTGTGTGTGAGAGAGAGAGAGAGAGAGAGAGAGAGAGAGAGACCTGTGTGCATGCGTGAAATTCGTATTTGTGTGTGTGTGTGTGTGTGAGATGGGGGAGGGGAAGGGTTAATGGTGGGGTCCACATTAGTGTTTGATTATTTATTGAATGTGTAATGACTTTGGTAATGCAAAACACTCCGACCGGCTTGAAATCGGCTCGTCTTCTTCCTCCTTGCCGGTAGAACGCCACGTAACTGCAATGAACTCTCACACCGGGGGGTTTTTCCAGTGAAGAGCCTCTGATGCTTAAGTCAGTATATATCTCACTCAATTCTCCAAAGTAAGAAATGGATAAATCGTAAACCACAAGAAAGACTCACTCCCATATATATAGGAGTGAGATACCTGCCCTAGGAGCTGTCCGGATTTGATGAGCTGTCTGCCCGGATCTGACCGTCCGTACACACGCAGTGTGTGTGGGTCAGAGGTGGTTATCGCCACCATCGCTCTGCACCAATATCTTCTCGCCACGTGCCCTCTTTGATAGAGAGTAATTATTCCCTTGAATATTCCTTTGAGATTTTCTGACGAAGTCCACGTGCTTCCTCACGTTCACACCACGCCCCGCGATTGTTCTTCACTCGTTGGGTGCTCGATCTGATTGAGTTCCCATTCACTAGGTCGATCATCGACCAGATCTGCTACCATGCTCGACCACTTCCTTCCAGCCTATTATTGCTCGAACAGCATGGTTTCCCCGATATTAGGCTCGTACGACCAGCATAATGGACCGGTTTATTCCTTAGGTTTATAATATCTCATATCATCTAGTCCCACTCTGGTCGAGTCTAAATGACTCGATCAAAGAGTGATTTTGTGTTTGTCTCTTGGGTTTACCGTCCTTTTGTGTCTATTCTTCAATACTTTCTATTAATTCTTCACTTTTCGAAATCTTCTCCATGCTCCAACTGTAAAATTTCCTTCCCCTTGTTGGTCATCGCTTCTCATTAGAAAAGCCTAAAATCCCTTTTCTATTTCTTTCTCCCTTGTTTTTCAGATTCTGCTACTTCGAATGAACAATGCCACTACTCCGGCGAAGATGCGATCGCCACGTCGTCATCCCCAATTCGTCGGCCTATTCCATACTCTCCTTCTCGCTCAGTGGAGAAAATTTCCAATCCAGTCTCCCTCAGATGTATACGATTTATCCATTTCTTACTTTGGAGAATTGAGTGAGATATATACTGACTGAAGCATCGGAGGCTCTTCACTAGAAAATACCCCCGGTGTGAGAGTTCTTTGCAGGTACGGCGTTCTACCAGCAAGGAGGAGGAAGACGAGCCGATTTCAAGCCGGTCGGAGTGTTTTGCGTTACCAGACTTGTTTACCCCTAGTGAGTGGTAAAATGTATATATTTGCCTACGATTTGTATACTTATTCACCATACTGCTATTCATATTTAACCTTTATTTATTTTATTTTGACTTCATCATGACCATTGGTTTGGTGAATCCAATGGTGCAGAAGCATTCTTATTTCTTTCACTATCATTCTTTCTCATATGATCCTTTATATATATATATATATATATATATATATAGAGAGAGAGAGACAGAGAGAGAGAGAGAGATAGAGAGAGTTGGGTTCACATGAGAATCGCTATCACTGAAAGAAAAGGGAATAAATCGTAGCCATTAGATCGGATGATCTAATGGCTAAAAAAAAGCCAAAATTTTAACTTCATTAAGGGTATTGTAATAATTTTGCATACCACACCTAAAGAGGTGGATCCCCTTCCATAATAATACACCGGCCAACTACCCTACTCACCCACCACATTAATTCATGTGTCAACCAACTCACCCACCCATCAGCCACCCCACCCCGTTCTCTCTCTCTCTCTTTCTCTCTCTCTCTCTCTCTCTCTCACACACACACACCCCACTCACACACCACTCGCACACACATATACACACACAGCAACACACCGACGGCCCGACCTCCACCCTCTTCGCCTCACATCACCGCCCGACCTCCACCATGTCTCCGCCCACATTGTCGCCTAACCTCCACCCTGACTCCGCCCACATCGCCGCCGTCTGCAACTCCCTCTGACGGATTCCAGTTTCTCCGACAACCGCAGTCTGTGCGCGCGTGTTACGTCATAGTGCACACCCGCCGGAGAAGACCACAGAGGCCCTGCCTACAACCTCCGTTGACTGTCGTCTCCCTCGATCCAGTCCTCTCACCAGAATCGTGGTGAAGGAGATGAGGTTGTGGATGACGATCCGGCCATGACAAACTGGAGCCATATTTGTGCGGCTAGAGAAGATGGTGGTGAAGACCGGTGGGAAGAGCTTGTCGCCGGATTCAGGGGTTGTGGTTAAGTGAAAATTGGGGGTCATGTCTTTGAAAATTAGATGTTGTTTAGGGACTCATTAGCAACTTTAACAATTTTGTCAATATTATAATTCGGCACATGGGCCAAATCTATAATTTAGAAAGAATTATAAAAGAAATACTATTTGTATATATTTTTTATACATAAATATTAAATAAAAATATTAAACTATTAAATAATTTTATTTAATAAAAATTATTAACCCAACAGCCCCTGTGTGGAGCCAACAAAAATAATACTATTAAAATATTTGTTAACAATATTTATTAAATAATATTTATTTTTAATATTTATTAAATATATACAAACAAATATATTTAATAATATTTATATATATATATATATATATATAGAGAGAGAGAGAGAGAGAGAGAGAGAGAGAGTTGGGTTCACATGGGAATGTTTGTCAATGAAAGAAATGAGAATAAATCACAGTCATTAAATCGGATAATCTAATGACTAAAAAAGCCAAAATATTAAGGTTTTCTAGTAATTTTGCATACCACACCTAAAGAGGTGGGTCCCCTTCCATAATAATACACTTGCCAACTACCCTACTCACCCACCACATTAATTCATGTGTCAACCAACTCACCCACCCATCAGCCACCCCACCCCATTCTCTCTCTCTCTCTCTCTCTCTCTCACACACACACACACACACAAACACACACACACACACATACTCCACTCACACACCACTCACACACACACATATACACACACAGCAACACACCGGCAGCCCAACCTCCACCGTCTCCGCCTTACATCGCCGCGTGACCTCCACTCTGTCTCTACCCACATTGTCGCCCGACCTCCACCCTGAATCCTCCCATATCGCCACCGTCCGCAACTCCCTCTGACGGATTCAAGTTTCTCCAGAAATCGCGGTCAGTGCGCGCGTATTACGTCATAGTGCACACCCGCCGAAGAAGTCCACAGAGACCCTGCCTACAACCTCCGTTGACCGTCGTCTCCCTCGATCCAGTCCTCTCGCCGGAATCGTTGTGGAGGAGATGAGGTTGTGGATGACGAGCCGACCATGACAAACTGGAGCCATATTTGTGCGGCTAAAGAAGATAGTGGTGAAGACCGGTGGGAAGAGCTTGTCGCCGGAGTTCAATCGCCAGATTCAGGGGCTGTGGTTAAGTTAAAATTGGGGGTTATGTCTTTGAAAATTCAATGTTGTTTAGGGACTCATTAGTAATTTTAACAATTTTGGCACATGGGAAAAATATATAATTTAGAAAGAATTATAAAAAAAATATTATTTGTATATATTTTCTATAAATAAATATCAAATAAAAATATTAAACTATTAAATAATTTTATTTAATAAAAATTATTAACCCAACGGCCCCTGTGTGGAGCCAAAAAAATAATACTATTAAAATATTTGTTTCACAATATTTATTAAATAATATTTATTTTTTATATTTATTAAATATATACAAACAAATATATTCAATTATATTTATTATTAAAAAAATTAAAATGTTTATGTTAATAGCTTTTGGTTAAAATATTAAATAAAAATTATTTAATATGATAAAGATTTTATTTATTATTTTCACGTATGCTCTTGGATTGCACAATAGTGTTGGGTGGATTGCACAATAGTGACAGTCAGAGCGCACATTATCGACCATAAAAATCTTCTGAACGAAATTCGTTTGTTCTAATTTTATGGTTTGGTCGATTGTTGCTATTAAAAATGGATATACTTAATACTTTAACATTAATCACATCATTTATCCACACAAAACACAAGTATGCTAACATACCAAAAGTACAGTAGGTCGACCCAAATACCCACACATTGCACTATATAAAACAACGCATTGCACTTTACAAAACAATATGTTGCATTTTATCACGAATATCAAATTGCACATTAGAGATCGAAACCGACCGAACACAAATTTTTGTCAACCAAAAATAATATAAAATTAATAAATAAAATTATTAACATAATAAATATAATTTTAATATAAACAATAATTTATTTTGATTATTTAGGATAATTCGGTTAATCGAACCGAATAAATCAATTGATTATGTTCATTTTCAGTTTTATTTGAGATAAAAGTTCGGTCGTGCAATATGCACAATATAGACCGACATCGTGCAACATAGTGTTGGACAAATTGCACCTTAATAACTATTATAGTGCACAGTATATCTCGCTCACATAAATGATAAATTCTTTAATCAAAAAATAATATAAAATGTAAATTAAAAAAATATTAAATACTAATCATGCTCTTAATGAAAATATATAATTTGTATCCCTTAGTTTGGTTATTTGTGTTAACTAATAACTAAGTTGATTATGTTTAAATTTTTAGTTTGAACTTTTAC